TGCCCTGCTTCCAGTTGTCCTGGAGACTAAAGACGCCATGATTTTGAACAAAGGTGTGCCTGTTACAAATTTATTTATTTATTTGTTTGTTTATTTTTGATTTTTTGAGACAAGGTTTCTTTGTGTAACAGTCTTGGCTGTCCTGGAACTCACTTTGGTTTTCTTTCTTTCTTTTTTTTTTTAAGATTTATTTATTTTTTTATTTATTTATTTATTTATTTATTTATACAGTATCCTGCCTGTAGGCCAGAAGAGGGCACCAGATCTCACTACAGATGGTTATGAGCCACCATGTGGTTGCTGGGAATTGAACTCAGAACCTTTGGAAGAGCAGTCAGTGCTCTTAACCGCTGAGCCATCTCTTTGAACTCACTTTGTAGACCAAGCTGGTATAGAACTCACAGAGATCTGCCTGCCCCTCCCTCTCAAGTGCTGGGTTTAAAGGTGTGCGCCACCACTGCTTGGCTATGTTACACATTTCTTATTAAAAGGGAAGTGAGTCTAGGACATGATTACAGGCTGTTGGCCTGGACAATACTCTAACAAGTCCTCCCTCTGTGCGTGAGGAGTATGTGGTTTTGTAGTGGATTAGTGAAGTGCAGTTATGCTAGCTCATGAGCGTATTCGTATTCCTAAGAATACTCTAAGTGCTAAAACTATCTTGGGTAAAACCGGTCTCTGGACCAGCCCTAAATTCCTATGCAATTGTGTCCCTGAGCTACAGGCTAGGTGCCTGACCACTTGACTCTCATGTCTCCGGAGCCCCTTTCGGTACATGTCACAATTGCCTTGTTTGCCCTCAAAACCTCAAACCAACTGGAGGTTGAGGCTGCTTCCTGCTAATCTGCTCGGGACAGTCTCTCCAGTGGCTGATAAAGACTCCATTAATAAAGACTACATTCAACTTATTCGGGCCTCTCAGGAGGTGTTTTGCTTTTTTTTTTTTTTTTCTTTTTTCGATTTTTCGAGACAGGGTTTCTCTGTAGTGTTTGGAACCTGTCCTGGAACTAGCTCTTGTAGACCAGACTGGCCTCGAACTCAGAGATCCGCCTGCTTCTGCCTCCCGAGTGCTGGGATTAAAGGCGTAGGTCACCACCACCCGGCTGGGAGTCTTCTTTTCAGGTACTCTGTGACAGTGTAGGTACTCTGCATGCATAGGAGTGTGCACAGGCCCAGGAACGTAGGCTACTCCCTCAACTGTTCTCTCCCTATTGCCTGAGACACTGTCTTTCACTGAACCCGAAACTCTTTGTTTTGGTCAGGCAGTACCTCTGTCCCCCAATGCTGGGGGTTCCAGGCTTAGGTAGACATGCCTGACTTTTTACATGGGTGCCTGGGATCTGAACTCAGATCTTCATGTTAGTAAAACAAGCACTCTCAGCCACTGACCCGAGCCTAGGCATCTACCTTCTCTTTACTACTTTTATTCACTTGGCAGGGGAGTGAATGGAGGCAGATAAAGCATAAACTAGTAAAAGGAAAACACAGGACATACATAGTACACAGGACATATATACAACTACACGGGACACATATACAACTACATATGAATACGTACTACATAGGACATACACCTACACAGGACATATATACAATTACATAGAATATACGTACTACATAGGACATATACACCCTACGCAGGAGCAGGACATATATACAATTACATAGAACATACATACTACATAGGACATATACACCTACGCAGGAGCAGGACATATATACAATTACATAGAATATACACACTACATAGGACATATATACAACTACACGTGCATCAAACCAGACAACTATCACAAACCATCAAAAAAGATGCTCTTTTGTGGAGGCCAAATAATTGGGGAAAGTTGTATGGAAAGGTTTTCATCGTACTTTCAGAGCGAGCCCAGGACTTGAAAGGCAGAAGGAGAGACCCTCTTCTAGTGCCTTGCGGAGGGGGAGGGGACTGCTGCAAGCTTATTGAATGCCAAGAGGGCCCCAGCCTGACACTGATACCTGTACAGAAAACACAGAGGCCCAGGGCTGTTGGGCGTGGCCTGAGGCATGGAGGGATTTTATTGTTAGAGCACCGAGCACAGTTTATCGCAGTAGCCTGTCACTGCTGCTAAGAAATCGATGTTGCTAATTTAGGGACACTAAAAACGCTAATATTAGAGCCACCCATTTAACTATAGAGGCCTCAGAGCTTGGGGCATGAGAAGAGACATTCACTCACTGTAATCTTCTAAGGCTTGCACACAACAAACTTCCCAGACACGACGCCGCAAGTTAAGATGAACCCCTAGGAGCTAGAGAGTTTGACTGACTCCAGAAAGCCCAAATAAAATTGGAGCCTGAGAAGAAATTACAGTATTTCAGAAAAGAAGTCCAGAGTCAGGGCAGCTCCAGGGCTCTTGCCATTGCTCTCTCTGGTTCCTACGGCTTGTCCTACTAGACTGGCTCTCTTCCTGGTCCCCATATGGCTGTCACGGCTTCTCACTCAAAAACTAGACTTAGAAAGGGAACGTTACTGTGTTAATCCTAAACTGAAAGCAAATCCTTCTAGACACTAAGCCCCACCCCAGGAGACTTTCTCTCAGGTTATACTGGTTGGTATGCTACGTGTCCATGCTTAAACCAATAACCTTGCCAAGGACAAAGCATTGCTTTCATTCTGACCAACCAGTATCCATCCTCTTTTGCTACAAAAGCCGCAGCTTTCACAGGAAGGCATGACCACCTTGGGCAGAATGAACTAATTGGTTTTCAGAGAGCAGAGAGGAAACACAGAGTGACTGTGGAGGTCACAACAGTGTGTACCCCACAACCGGCAAACTCTAAATTGCTTCCACTCATCAAAACTATGTATTTTGTCCATATACAAACTTGGCATAGTTTTCGGCATAGTATATATACAAGTAGACAAACGATGCTTCTGACTGGTCACATTCGATAACTGCTTTGTGTTGGGTATGTACCGTATCAGTTGTAAGGGCCTGAAAGTGCCTGAAACCTGGGAGTATTGACCTAGTAACTCAATCTGCTAGGGACATTACGTTCCAGTTGCTACCTAAGAGTGCTAAGGGTCCATCCAGTCCATGTTCTCTTACCCAGATGGCTTTGAGAAAGGAAGGTGAGCAGAGAAGTTTTCCAAGGAAAGATCTATCCTACAAGGAACACAGGACCTGTGCTGGTGGTTGTTGAGAAAATGCCCTCACCAGATGGGCTTGTGGTAGTTAGAATATAATTGGTCCCCATAAGCTCACAGGGAGTGGCACTATTAGGTGTGGCTTTGTTGGAGTGGGTATGGCCTTGTTGAAGGAAATGTGTTACTGTGGGGGCAGCTTTGAGATCTTCTATGCTCAAGACACCAGCCAGTGTGTCAGCTGACTTCCTGTTGCTTTCTGACCAAGCTGTAGCTTTCACCACGTGTGCCTGCACGCCACCATGCTAAAGGGCTGAACCTCTGATTAAATGTTTTCCATCTAAGACTCGCCATGGTCATGGTGCCTCTTTACAGCAACAGAAACCCTAAGACAGGCATTTTCTTAACTGATGATTTATGTGGGAAGGCCCAGCTACCTGTGGGTGGTGCCACCCCTAGGCAGGTGGTCCTGGATGCTTCTCCATGGCCTCTACATCAGCTCCTGCCTTGCTGAGTGACCCAGAATATGTAAGCCAAACGATATCTTTCCTCCCCGAGATGCTTTAGGTTAAGTGTTTTATCACAATGTACAATCGAAGCCTATAGGGAAACAGCCAAGTTGGACGTTATAGTGTCAATTTTACAACAAGCAGCTTTGTATTTAAGTCACTTAAAACATTCCTCACTCCAAGACACCTCTGACTGCCGCAATGACCTCAGAAGGCAGGCTAGATGGGCAGGCAAGCCCAACAGCACAGCCTTTCAAAAGGAGAATCTTGCTGCCCAACTCCACTCACAAAACTGCTGTTTTCTTTATAAAATATCTAGATACTTTTCTTGAGTGGTGTTTAGAAAACTTTAACTTCTCTTCTATATGCAAGTCCCATTTGTTCCTGTGGTTCTGTGACATAACTTCCCTGAACAAAAGAGTACATTGCAGCTGGGCGGAGGAGATGCACATCTTTAATCCCACAATCTGTGAGTTCGAGGCCAGCCTGGTCTACAAGGTCCGGGACAGTCAGGGCTGGTTTTATGTTGACTTGACATAAGTCAGAGTCACTTGGGTAGAGGGAACCTCCAGTTGAGGAAGTGCTTTCACCAGATTGGCCTGTGGGCAAGCTTGTAGTGCACTTTCTGTGACTGATGATTGATATAGAGGACCCACCCACTGTGGGCAGTGCCACCCCTGGGCTGGTGGTCCTGGGTGATGTAGGTGGGTCTTCTGTCTATGTGTTACTTTCATTGGTCAAATAAAGAGGACAGCAGCTTAGATAGGCGGAGTAGACAGAACAGAATTCCGGGAGGAAGAAAGCAGTCAGGCAGATGCTACGATTCTCCGACCAGAGAAGGATGTAGGTTAGGATCTTTCCCAGTAAGCCACCACCTCGTGGTGCTACACACATTAAGAGAAATGGGTTAACCAAGATGTGAGAGTTAGCCAGAAAGAGGCTAGAGCTAATGGGCTAGGCAGTGTTTAAATGAATATAATTTGTGTGTTGTTACTTCAGGTGTAAAGCTAACCATGCGGGAGCTGGGCGGGACGAAAAGCAGGCCTGCTCGCCTTCTCACTACACCTGGGTTCTAAAAGAAAGCAGGCTGAGCAAGCCAGGAGAAGCAAGTCTGTACGCAGCACTCCTCCATGGCCTCTGCGTCAGTTCCTGCCTTGACTACAAGCTACAAGCTGTATGATGAAATCATTATCTTCCTCCCTGAGCTGCTTTTGGGAATTATTTCATGACAGAAATAGGAACCATAGGACAGACCTCCTTAAGTGCACTATTCTGCCTACGCACCTGCATGTGTACATATATATGTGTGTAATAAATACTTTTCAATTAAAAAACTTTTTTTTCTACCCCTAAAAGAATCCACACAGGAACAAAGTCAATTAAATTTTATTTCAACCAAGAATATAAAATCCATGTAACTTATCGTAGCTGAAACTGTCACTTTGAGAAGAATGGCTGGATAACTCCAGAGCAGAAGCCCTCAGTTCTGAAGAGGCAGCACACCCTGCATCCCCAGAATGGGCTACAGAGGGCAGCCGGCCTGGAGTAGACACATCACAGCAGAGCAAGGAGAGCCAGGGCAATACCTACGATCATACAGAGGGGGTGCGTGCAGAAAATGACCGAAAAAGATAGACAGATACATTTCACAAATAGGAATTATCAGAAATACAAACTAGTTTAGAAAGGACATACTGTATAACATATATAAAAAGTACTTTCAGCTGTTATTAAAAAGGACACCTTAGTCCTGGCTTTGTATAATGCTTTTAGTGTCTACCCAGACAAAGCTTTAAAAAAATTAAATAGTCTTAATTTACTCACTATAGGTGATAACAGTGCATTAGGTATTTCCCGTATAACACATCCGCATCACTCCCTACCGGCAACAGCTCAGAGGAACAAGCACCTCCTCGGGTACAGCGCACTTTTTCAAGTCCTCAAACACTGACCTTTGGGGTTATGATATGCATGACTATTCTCGATGATTATGGGGACCTAAACTGCTACATTTTGTAGAAAATTATTACTTGTACTTGACTCCTTCAAACCTCCGTTAAACCCAATGGCTATCCACTGCCTTTCTCCATCTCCTGGGGAGCAGCACCGAGCTGAAGTCGCAGCTTCCCTGCTAGTTTTCCTCAGCATGTAGCTGTGGCTACCCATTAACAAAAGCAAAGCAGGCTGCAAACTTTATTCTCCAATTCCTTTTCCCTCTAGCGATGAAAAGAGCATCATTTCAGAGGCACAGAGAACTGGCCAAGTTGCTGCATCAGGCACGAGGCAGTGGACTTGAATGCATGCTGGTGCCGTCTGTTCCTGTCTTAAAGGTCTTAGTTTTGCTAGAGGGAAGTAGTGCAGGGCGTCAGAATTCTAAGTCCTAAAGTCTCAAAAGCACAGGTATAAAAATAAACACGTCCTCCATTTCTGCATCTCACTGCATGGGTACTTCATCAAAAGGATTGCTTCAACCTCGTAATACCAGCCCTGCCCCAAGCTACCTTACTTTATTTAAGCTAGCCTGTCCCAAACTCCTGAATCCTTTACCCCAAACACCCCTCCAAAAAGCTACCTCTAAAAGTGACTTTTAATATAAAAAAACAGAAACCTTTCAACTCAATCTTTCAACATCTCCCTAGACTTCGAGGTTCCCGTAAGTCGGAGGATGCCTCTGGGTTCCTAGGGGACAAAATAGTATGCAATACATGTTCAAAGAGGAATCCAATCACTTGAGGCTCACCAAGGTCAATTCTACCCTTAAGAAGATTCACAAGACCCACAGGAGGTCCCACCCCGTGGACTATGGCCTTAATGTATATGAAAGGCTTTGCTTCCTTTACAGAGAAAGGAAATGATGAACAAAAACTACTTCTAAGAGTACTGGGCACAGGTATGAGTCTACCCCTGAGGCAAGAAAAGCAAAGGGCCAGAAGCAGTTGGTGATGTGGAACCCCGCTGTGTATATAATGGAGTTTTCTGGAAGGTCCTGGTGTGTGTGTCACTTTTACTAGGGCCGTCCTATGAATGTGTAAGTGCGTATTGCCAGAATTATGTATTCAGCTTGCATACAAAGAACTCTTAGTATTTTGTTCTATACACAGACCGGGGCTAATGTCTTTTATTAAACGTGAGCTCACTTGAGGGCAAGAACTTCTATGTTTATTGTGATTCCCTACAACCACTTGGTAGAATGGACTCTGTCCATACATGTCCCCAGTTGATGCTGAAGGCTGCTGTGAACATTTCAGAGATGCATAGATGCCTTTTGTGGCAGTTAATCACTGGCTTTCTCTTCGAGAGGTCAGTCACATACCTGCTTCCCGATAACACTGTTTACTATAAAATGCAGAGGCATAGGGATCCGATTGGGTTCAGAGTAAACAAAAGGGCCTTCATATCACAGACATTTCTAAGTCAACCACGTGTCACTGGATTGGCTGTAACAAGGAATGTGTTTTGCTCTCTGCTTTTCTACCCGGCAGAGCACTGAGCCTGTGAAGGAGCAGTGGCCCTGGACACAGGCTCTAGGGCACCAGACAGAACTTTATATAGGTAGCTACATTATGCAGGAGGCTGAGTCTTTTTCTCTAAAATGTAAGGGATAAGAATCATGGAGCCAGTCAGAAATTCCTCCCCGTGAAGCACGTCCATGACTTCGTCAGTCTTGGTACGCAGGTCACTATTCAACCTTTATTACTATTCAGAAGCATTATTATGCTGAAATCAGTATGGTCCTGGCTGGCTACAGTATCACATCAATAGTGCAAAATGTATACTGGCTTCTAAAATCTTATTTTACTTGAATATGGACCCCAGAGTATCATAACCAGGTAGATAAGTTCACAAGAATAGTTTTTAAAAATGCATATAGTTTGCATATACAACAACTGGCTATTTTTCTAGCTCAAGAAACATTGAAAACAAGGCTGGTGCTGCTAGTAGCATCAGAAAAGAGATGTTCTTGCCCCCGGCACTACAAGGGGGGCTCTAAGCCTTTACATTTCCTCTTGACTCTGGAGGGCGAGGGGTTCCTTAGAAGTAGCTAAAAAAGAACTCCCCTCTAATTCGTAGATCATGGAAATGCAAATATTCACCTCATCTACTTTACACTATCTGCCCATAGTTTTTAGGCACAATTATTAAATTTTCTCCTAGGGGCAAAAGAAAGCATTCAGTGCAATAAAAAGATTCTTGACAGCGTTAAGTCTCAGTAACAACAGCAAAATTATGCATACATGATACATACTTTGAACATGGATAAAACCTAAAATTTTAACATGCTTTAAAAATAGTCACTCTATGCCTAATGTAAATACAAAAGGAGAACACTGCGGATGAGCGAACAGGCTTCGAGCTGAGTATCCTTGATTATGTAAGAAAGTCACTCATGCTGACCCAGACGTGGAGAGACTGGAGGGACCAAGGCTCCTCTGGAGAGGCCGATGCCTCCTTTGAGGGGAAGAAAGGTCCCTTGATCAGCACGACTCCTCTGTGAAGCCCTGTGCAGTTTACAGTCTTTTCAGATTTCCCAGGTGGGTCCCAAAGGACCATGTTCCATCAAAGCTCTAGAACCCCCCTTAGAGTAGACTTAGCTACATGAAGGTTAAAATTATAATTTTTAATTACTGAATATTATTCAGAATATGATACTTCTGGGAACTAAGTTCCTCGTGAGTGATTATAAAAACCACCAACTGCTTCAGCTCTTCCCAGCATGAGCACGGCAGCTGCAAAGATCAACACTGGTTTGGCTGTGGGGACCCTCTGTCCCACGCTTGCCTTTACTAGACCTTCCCTGAAAGAGATAATAAAAACCTCATAGTAAGTACTTTGGGACAGCAACAGTTTCTCTTTAAGACTTCCAAGAGCAAAGCAGTTAGTCTGTGAAGACTGCGTAGTGCTTTAAAAGGTGCGAGACTCGTGTTGTTCAATCAGTTCATGAAGTATAAAACTATACACCGCGGAACCCTGTTCCTAAAACATTGAAGTCCTAAGAAAAGATAAATTATAATGATTGCTACAGCGTGAGAAAGGTGCACCAGGAACTCCCTCAGAAAGTGCTGAAGGACGCAGAAGTGCTGGGGCAGATCAGAGGCTTCACCAGGGAAGTCCCAGAGAAATTCATGCGGGAAGAGGGCTGGGGACACTTCACAAGATCTTCTTCCTAAGTCAACCAAGAAGAGATAGTCGTCCTTCAGAACACTCAGTAGGCGAAGGTTTCCTCTCTAGTGAGCTCTGCATGGCAGCGGCATCACAGTCTTCACTCTGGGGCTCTTTGCGATGCAGACCCCGCCCTGCTGGAGGCTGTGCTACGCTGTCCTGGGCAAGCAGAGGCAGTGGTCAGTACCGGTGGGCCTGGTGAGACGGGTGGTACTGCGTGCTCTGTTGAGATGAGGCGTAGCCGAGTGTGCTCTGGGACTGGGAAGACCCCTGAACGCTGCTTTGGTAATTCAGGCGAGAACTGGAGTGCTAGAAAAAGAAACAGGAAAGTGGGGGTTACTGACTACAGAGAGGGGCTCAAGATGCCAACCACAGGCAGGACAGAGACGAGGTCCCTGGCTCCGATCCACAGCAGCTGATATGTTCTGCTTATCTGAAACAACAGCCTGCTTAGACTGCAGCTACCCTGGTTGGTGTTGAATCTGGCTGTGCAGTGGGGAGGGTGAGCTACACTGGTAAAGAAAGGCAGACAAACGTAAGCTTTTACAGGATAACATTTGACAATGAAACAATTCATTTAGTAAATGGAAAATGGCATCCATAAGATATAACTGTATACTGTTCATTCCCACTTCCATAATTGGTGGGGACTGGGAAATCACTCTCAGGCAGTTTTTGGAGGCAGAAACTAGGGACATAGAGAAGCTGCCAAGGAGCAAACAAGCAAGGTTGACAGGGCAGGTTAGCAGTAGGGAGGTATTATAAATGTCAGGTAACATCCAAACCAAACATTCTCACCAATAAATCTTATTTCCCATCTAAAAATTAAACAAAGCAATTTGTTACACGGCTGGCCTCAAGAGACCAGCAGACAGACAGCTTTCCCTAGGCTGAACACTGCTGATACAACTCTATAAAGACAGTATTTTCTTTTTCCATAGGAAAAAAATGCATCCCCCCCCCTCCCGCCCGCCGTGTTTGTGTGTGTGTGTGTGTGTGTGTGTGTGTGTGTGTGTGTGTGTGTGTGTGTTTAAGGCAGGGCTGTCCTAGAACTCACTATGGAGGCCAGGCTGGCCCTGGAACTCTCCACAACCTATCTGCCTCAGTCTCTCGAGAGCTGAGGTCCCAGGGGTGAGCCACTATACCAGGCTCCTCCTATTGAAGTAATAATCATATCTGCTTATTGAAACAGCCCAAAATCTCACCCGTGGAAACTGACAAGGCAGAGTCTCCTCACAGAATAGTCCAATCTGAACACAAGTCAAAGTAACTCAGAATCGAATACAAGGAAACAGAACACGATATGCTTTAAGACAGTGTGCTCAAACAACCCTAGAGGTTTCACTCCCTATAAATCCTAGAACCAGATGTGAGAAAAGCCTTTTCCCTTTAGCTTCCTTAATTAGTGGTACAGCTATAATTTCCTTTCTGTCTGAACACAAGACGCATATCTAGAGTTAACATAATTCCAGTAGGACTTGCTTCTGAGAGCTGTTGCTTAGCCTTGGTCATTTCTCAAGTCTACATGGTTAACGACTGACTATTCCCTCCAGTGAGAGCATTCTCTACTCTAAGTGTTCTTGAATTTGTCCAATAAGACACTTACCTAATCTGCGGCCAATACAGATACAGTTCTGACATTTTATTAAGGAGCCTCCCACCTCCCTCCTTTCTCTCCTTGGGGTGTTAAGATAAACAAGTCTCAATACAAAATATCTCACAATTGCATGAAACGTGATTAAAAATCCTCCCTTTCATGTAATGCCAGAAACATAACCATCTAGTTTCTAGGTCAGGTTCTGGAGCTAAGAACTATATAGCTCTAAGAGAACTGGTTAAAAGTCAATTTCCCATTTCATAAAATATCTTCATACCAAAAAGGAGCAGTCATGGAGTACCTGATAATCTGCCGGCATAACTGGCCCGCCCGAGCTTGCACCCGAAGGCCCAATGCGGGGCTTCTTGTTTGGAGGCACCTGGGTCAGGCCAGAGTCCTGGCTGTGCTGCAGTCCTGCTCCAGCGCCAGCCCCGCCCGCCGCCGCTCCCCCTGCTGTCCCATTGGTCTGGGCACTGCTCTGCTGTGGTGGAGGAGCCTGGGGAGGGGCTGTCGCCTGCTGTGGGGGGGCCGTGGGCTGCTGATGCGGATTCTGCTGCTGTCCCTGATTCTTTTAGTGGAGTCAGGAGGGGGAGAAAGATTCGAGATTTACTGTTAAGCCAGACAAATGGAAAATGCACTTCACTACTTGATACACTTGTGACTGGTGACACACCTGGGGTATAACCTGGTCACATGACTTCACTACTTGATACACCTGTGACTGGTGACACACCTGGGGTATAACCTGGTCACATGACTTCACTACTTGATACACCTGTGACTGGTGACACACCTGGGGTATAACCTGGTCACATGACTTCACTACTTGATACACCTGTGACTGGTGACACACCTGGGGTATAACCTGGTCACATGGGATGACTGGAAAGAATGGAGATGGGTAACCTCCAAAATACATCATTCCCAAATACTAACATAGTGAGCCCCGAATAGCAATGTGTAGCATCTCCAAATGAAACAGCCATTTCAGTGGGCAGCATAAGGCACACAGGAAATACCATCACACTCAAAGCCCTTTCATCAGGACTCTGGACAGCAGAGCGGTGCTAGCGGCTAACACTCCCAGTTAGCATAGAGGAGTGGAGTAAGGCCCACAAAAGCAGAGCAGGGTGGAGATGACACGGGACAAACAAAACAAGGAAGAACTAGGAATAGAAAGGGCTACTAAGACAAAACAGGAAGTTCAGTTTAAACTTCAAAGTACACCTCCAGTCTCCAAACCCCCACAAAGAACAACATAAGCACGCTAGATGAAAGGCGGGCAGAGGCATAGATCATCAAATCATGCCCCTCAATTATCCTTTTGAGGCTCTCCCGCTCAGAAAGTCAGTGGTGCACGAAGCTTATACCTTGTCGCCCTTCTCTTCCGGTTCATCTTCATTAAGGAATTCTCTTTTGGGGTATGGAATCTGGCAACCAGCAAACACACTAAACCATTTAAAAAGAAATACATGTTAGCCAGGCAGAGATAGGAGGATCTCTGTGAGTTCAAGGCCAGCCTGGTCTACAAGTGAGTTCCAGAACAGGCTCCAAAGTGACAGAGAAACCCTGCCCCGAAAAACAAAAAAAAAAAAACAAAACAAGAGATACCTAAAATGTGTGACTTTATCACCTTACTTTAAAATTAAAAATTTACTTTTTCTTTCTTAACCTACACCCTATACTTTACCATGACTGGAGTTTGCAGGACACGTTCCGAACAACTTAACTGAAGCAGTCCTGCAGACTGCTGCTCTCACTGCCGAGGGGGACCGCTGCGAGTAGGCTTACGTGTGACACGGAGCGCCGTCCGCACTACTCACTCCGTCAGCACCAAACTAAACTGACTTTGTTTTGCTTAAACATGAAAATAAATTTCCCTTTCAGGAAAAAAAAAAGTTTTCTAATATCTACAAGCCCAGAGCACGAGCTTGGTTTGGGCGTGGCTTGTGCCTGAGCCATTTCTGTTCTGTTCTGGCTTTTATCTAGGAAGCTGGTGTGGGCCTTTCCCCGAGGAGATGTTCTCTGTGCAGTCTTCATGAGCATAGCAGAACAAGTCAGGGAAGTGTTCCCCTGGCACTCAGCAACATACAGCACCATCCAGTTGGAGCAAAGACCATGGAGAAGAAAGAGTACATACTCTAATGTGGGCAAGGGGTCCTCCTGAAAGTAAGGGTCCTGCAGAGCCTGCTCTGAGGTGATCCTCTTCGTTGGATCCATGGTAAGGAGCTTCTGAAGCTAGAGCAACAAATAAGAAATGTGACAGCCCATGAGAAGACTGACTTTTGTATCAATGTCTGACACAATGGACTTCAAATACATCTTTTACACACTGATGCACACACGCGTGTGTGTTTAGAGTAAATTCTTCCACATAGGGTCCAGGGATTGTGGATCAAAGCCAAGCTGTCAAAGCTTGGCAGCATGTGCCCTTACCTATGAGTCATCTTGCTAGCCCTCATATCATCTTGCCCAGCTCACTGTATAATTAGTAGACTATACACATATTTATGAAATTACCATTAAGGTCCCTTAAAATTCTTTTTTTCTGGTATGAACCATTTAAGAAACTAAGACTAGAAGTCAAGGACAATTCTCAATAGAATAAGATTTAATTTCTCAAGCATCCAGCAATTAATCTCTCAATCTCTCTCTCTCTCTCTCCAACCCCTCCCCTTTCATACTCCCTCCCCTCCATCTCTCCTTCCTTTTCAAAGGAGAAGACTAGCTGGGACAATTCTGCAGTAAACAGGACAGAGGAGCTGATCAGGATTCAGCGGGGAGAGAAGCACTAAACTTTCCCTCAGGAAAGAGAGACTCAATAAGGAATGACTGAAACCCCTCTTCACTTAAGAGGGGGCAGCCTAAGGGTTTAACTGCTGCTCAAGAGACTAGAACTGGAATTTGATAACAGCAATGTCATTGTACTCTTACCCATCAAAAAAGCCTTTCTTGTCTTTTGATTAATATGGATTTAAGAAGATTGTGATATGATAAATTGTGGATTTATTGCTAATTTCTACTCTAGAATTATGGTATTCACCTGATAATGTTTGTAAGGGCTTATAAGGTGTTGAAAAAAGTTTGACGGGCCCTATAAATGTTTGGATTTAATTGAGGATTTATTGTTAATTATGATATTGACCTGATAACGTTTGTAACTGCTTTTAAGATGTTGAGAAAAGTTTGACTCACCCTGTAAATGTTTAGGTTTAATGCATATGTTAAGAATTTTAGATTTTGATATAATATACAAAATTTTAGAGGTGCTCTAAACCATCTGAAGAAACATTTTTAACTCAGGCAATCCTCCTCTCATTTAAATAAGAGACTACAGTCTTAGGAGCATGGTTATTCATGTAACATTATGATTTCTCCTGACAAAACAGTATGGCTCCAAGACACAGAGCCCAAAGGTATTTCTCTCCCTTTATTTCTTTTCTTCACAGAAGTAGAGATGGATTTGAATCTTCTCCTCCCCAGGTGCCTGAGACAGGAGCTCACATAATTAAGATGCCCATTTCCAAAGACGGGTAAACTGGGTAAATAGAGAAGTGTTTGCCTAAGGCAGATGTGATAATCTGTCCTGTGCTGAAGCACAGGTTTTATTAAAATTAATAAGAGGGAGTGGATTGTAGGGGCATATTATACAGGCCCATATTTCTACATTGGCCATATTTCTACTGTGGCCAGAATTTCAGGCCACAGTTTGCACCTGCCACACAGGAGGTGGTCACCTAGCCTTTTGAGACAAACTGATGCCATCCTAGACAAAGGGTCAGGATCTGCTAATGGCACTCTGCTCCTTCTTTGTAAATTTGGGAGGCTGCCTGGGAAAGAGGTGTTAACTCAGTCTACGTGAGAGAGCAGGCACAGGTAAGAAGACGTGACTAAATGGGCAGAGAAAGGTGTGGACGTGACCACAGTCAATCTCCTGGCTATCTAGGAAACAGAATGCTAATCAGTTTCACCCTCAGATTACATTTTGGCATAAAAGCTGTTTAGAGAATAAACACGGGTGAATTTTCAGGGTGTGAACTCAGGGTTTCATGAGGGATCCCTAAAAACTCCCTCTCGATAAAGTCATGTGAGTTGTGCCTCAATTACTCCCATGCCTCCCCTCTGGTCTGAGAAAGAATTTATGTCAGGGCTGGATGCTGACACAGAAGGAACACCCCGCTGCCAGTGGGGAGCACCTACCAGGAGGAACACCTACCAGGAGGAACACCTACCAGGAGGAACACCTACCAGGAGGAACACCTACCAGGAGGAACACCTACCAGGAGGAACACCTA